ACTCTCGTGAGTAACTGAAAGTCTTATTTCCTGACAAACTGTTTTTATGAAAGGATTTTACAAATTTCAACTGAGGTCAACAGATTACGAGTGTTTCCCACATGGAAACATCAAATAATGCAATTCTTCTTCTATGTGCTGTGTCCATTAAAGAATTTGCCAATCATGACTCACCACATCTTTTTGCAGCTATATTTTGTTTGGCATCCTTTTACTCAAGTTCGGTCGTTAGGCCATGTGTTGTCTTCCTCTGTCCCTTTTGCCTTCAATCTGTCTTGTGTGTAACAAATTTTCGAAGCTATATTTCCTCATTTTGTATACTAGAAAATTGAACTGTTTCTCTTTTATTTCCAGTTTCTCTAAAACCTCGTCGTTGCTCACATCTTCTGTCCTTTTTAATCTCAGCCTCCTTGTGTAGAACTACATTCCTTTGCTTCAAGTTTTTTTTTAACTGTGAAAAGCTTATGCAGAATTCACTGCCATATAGAAGGACAGATATTACGTAACAATTCAGTATTCCTTTTTGTTTCTAGCGATTTTTTTTTCTTTTGCATAACACTTTGCTTAGGTTTTTGTCCATGTGTCTTCGAATTTCAATGTCGCACTTTCCGTTCGATGTTAAAACATATACCAGGTTTTTGAATTGTGGTACTTATTTCATTTTGGCATTTCCAATTTGTAAATTCTATATTGGGCTATTCAGTTACTGTCACTTGTAAGGGCAATTATCATTAATGGTAATTCTAGTTGGATCTTTTCTTTTATATAAAATATACAAAATTCACTTTGACGGATTCTTATTCAAACGACTTCTCTTCTTGTTTTTTTTTTTATCACACATACAAATGGCAGCTCACATTTAGGACTGATGGAAGTAAATTCGACTCAGGTCTGCAACAAACTATTCATTTTGAATCCTCGCCTAATTGCAGTGCTAAAGTGATCTTCTCATTGCTTCCAATGTAGATTGATTGATTGATTAATTTGTTTTACGGTTTATCAACCCATATAAATTAAAACAATTTTTTCATTGTAATAAATTTTTTGGTGGAGAGGGTGAATATTTATATGTTATTTTCAAATAAGTTTTCCAAATGCAAGTCATACTACGTAACTCGTAAGAGATGGATTCATATCTTTCTGAAGGATATTTGCGCGTAAGTGAATGAAACGAACCCAACTGGAATTCGAACCCGGCTCTGCGATAATTCAATCCGAGCCGCTATCCTTTATACCACCGATATATTCACTTCCAATAAATAGAAATCTCTTTCTGCCGCTTAGAATATTTGAAACCCTTCCCAGTGGTCACATGAAATTGGACACAATTGTCCTGAAATCGTTTGATATTATTTTAGTTTTATTCTCTTTCAGGTCCGACCTGTATTCTACAAGGAGAGTTTCTTCTATTACCCAAGAGATGTTATTTTCGGTGACTGATTCCAGAACTTGGATAGGGTAATCTATCTTATTGCTTCTCTTTTCACATAAGCATTTCTAGTCGATCCTTCTTCAGAAGTGTCAACTGTCGGCCTTGAGTTGCAGACTAAATTAGTATTAATTCTCCTCTATTTTCTTTTCATTCTATTCCCCTAGAACTAGTATTTGCAGAATGTCATGTAGCATTAAGATATCTGCCTCCGGTCATATCAGATGCGACTTCAGGTCATGTCATTCCAGTTATTCGGGTTTTTGCCATCATTCTATTTAATCATTTCATTTAAACGATATATCGACCTTTTATTGTCGGATATATATGCTCATAATATCGGGTATACGAGAGAAAAAAAAGACTTCCAAAATGTGGAGACATTAGGATGACACATCTTCGACATCAAATATGAATAGTGTTCCTGAGAGCCTGTTTTCAAAATCGACATTAAAAATCCAGTTTTTCATGTGGGTTCAGAAATTGACCATTAACACCAGAGGGAAATTCACAATTTACGATTCGAGAGAAGGATCAGTACAAGGCGAGGCAACGGGTAAATTGAGAAAACCTATGGTCAGTTTTCTTGAAAATCAAGCGATAAATCGCTGTTTTTATTTAAACTTAGACCCCTGTCCACAGAGAAATATAGATAACTTTCGCATCCATGATGCAAAGTTTTGTAGATGATTATTAAGCATAAGTTACTTTAAATCTAGATCCAAGTAGGAATGAAATGAAAAAGCATTGCTGAAGGAAATGAGCCTACACCCGATTTCAGAAATATTAAAAATTTACTCTATTGGAACATCTCAATATTTAAGACATGATGCAGACCACAGCCAAGTTGGTTTCTTGTATATCTGTTTCTTGAATGTATAGGCTTAGAGAAAACTCATGTGTAGACTTGTGGTGCACTATGCAAACCTGAATATGCAAATGATGGGACATTACAATGCTCTATAATTTCATCAGAATGAATACAATAAGTGTTTATCAGCTTTATTTGACGATAGAGATTAGAGACTACAAAATCCTGACATCAGGAAAATAAACATTTAACTATCATGGCCAAGCAGTGAATGTTTTCCTTTAATAGAAATAAAGTAGCAAATCGTTGAAGAAGCACATGAATACGATTTTTTTTTTATTGAAAAGGCGCCAGTTTACTAATTATCTACAGTAAATATACGTCCAGATTGATCCAACTTATACACTTTTCTTAGGAAATTACAACTGATGAAATGTAGGTTAATTGGAAGCAATAATACTTTAATGGAAAGCGATAACAATTGAATAGGGCTAATTTCTGGCTGCATTTCTTCAATGAGGAATTATCATTACAACCAGACAAAAGAAACAAATAGCAGAATGAATGATCATTCTTGTGGCTTAAAGAAAAGTGGTCTAAATTTTATGAAGGTTACCCGTATCGGAAAAAATCAGTAAGAAACGATAGAACACTAGCGCTGAACAATGTGATGGCAATACCAATGGCGTTGAAATTTAAGTTTATATTATGAGTGTGTCTGTAAGTATTCACTTCGAAGTATAGATTGGTGTTTATTGTATTTCAATCATAAAGTTTCCGTCTTGAGTATGATAATAAACTACATCCGGCCTCTGATCGGGTGATTTTGAGGAGTGTAGAACCACCTCTTAATTGATGTTGTTCCCAGGTTCATCCTGACCGGGATGGTAACACCTGTCAGGGTTCTAGCTTTGTGCAAACAGCTGTTAACTATTGATTTCAACTGGTTAAGATTGTTTTAATCGAGGAATCATCACCTTTGGAATCGGTTCCACAAATCAAGGGTTCATGGAAAGTGGAACTTACATCTTGCCAATAGAATATGAAGGGAATCAGAGTGGTTCTCTATAATATTTCTGGTACGCTGGTCCTTAGCCTTTTAGGTTAGTGCTAGTGGAACTATGAAATGTAATATTTTCTGAAGAATTTCCGTGGAAATAGTTATAGAACATCTACGGGATTGTGACGTTTCGTCTTTGGGAAATGGGGCGTCCTGGGTAAGACGATAAACTACGTCCAACAGTAAGGCCTCTGATCAGGAGGTTTTGAGGAGCGTAGAACCACCTCTTAATTGCTGGTCTTACCAGGTTAACCGGCATGGTAACACCTGTTACGGTTCCGGCTATGGACAAATAGTTCACCAGCAAACTGGGGTCAAAACAATATGAAAGTATAAAAACAGTTTTTTATATTAAAAATATTAGCAATACGTTTCTGAAGAGAAATTACAAGCAATGCATTTGACTCTTGACAAAAACCCTCTTAACAAAAAATTGTCATTGTAACCTGACACGGTGGAGTAATGGATAGCGGCTCGGATTGAAGAATCGGAGAGCAGAGTTCGAATTCTATTCGAATCCATTACATTTACTTACGTGCTAATACCCTTGGGAAAGATGTGAATCCTGATATTCTTCCACCCCAGCTATGGGTAAATAGCAGGACAGACTGGGTTCTATACCCTTAGATTGCAACTGGTCTATCGCAGAAAAAAATGGCAACATACTGCTTCGTCAGTCAGGTATCGGAAGATACATGATCGCCTAAGCGTGTATCATGCATGGCCCATAAATGAATGGCTGAATCTGATCTACAAACTTATTTCTTATAAAAAATACATATTCTGTTCATACGAACCTATCATAAAAATACTGTAGCCATTAAAGAACCCATTGAGTTGTTGATATGCCGTAAAACAAAATAAACCTAACGAAATCTATCATATGCTTTCAAAATTATTTCTAATAAATGCTTTTATTTATTTTCCTTATTATTTATCTGAGGAAGGTTTTTCACTGAACGAAACGTCAGTTTTCGTTCCATATTCTCGCAGCCTTTTGTATGAAACTGTAATGTAAGTTTCTCTGCGTACTGTTCTTTTCTATTCCCTTTTACGACGTGAATCTATCGAAGCCATTACAATTGTAATTTGTCTTCCTTTCTTCATTCTTTTGCTCTCTTTCTTCAACAAACAACCCGTTTTCTGTCCTTCATTGTAAAAAATATTTTCTTTTCGCTCCGGCTCTCTGTTTTCTTGTTATCTTATTAGCTTTCACTGTCTTATTAACTTTCTCTCCTTCTAAAAATGCGCCATGTTTCTGTCAAACAAGAAAACTAGGTTTGGTAATCTCGAAGACTTATTAAGGTTCGCTGTGGGATTTCAGATTTCTCTCCATACAGTTACAAGTCTCGTTCGTCTTCACTTGCTTTCGACCTTCAGATCAGTAAAAGAAAAAAAATCATTAGAACATAAGGTGTTCTTTCCTTTTCCCATTTCACCGCAGGGACGAATCCGTAGATGCAACATTATCTGGCAGTCATATATAATTACACAAGAAAATCTCGACAGGCCGAATGTACGTCATTGAAAAATAAGTATTCGAGAGGCTTAACTTTGTAAGCTCTGATGATTTGAGAAAACGGCATCAATAGAATGAAAAAGAAGGATGCCTTAAAGGAAGTTAGATACAAAGGAACGGTGATGGGCTTTCTGAAAAGGGAGTAGTAATATTATGGAAAGTGAAATGTTCATATCGCGCTTTAAACAAAGAGAAATGATGATGAAGCAAAAAGAGAATTAGAAGAAGAAGATGAAGGAAAGAGAGAAGAAGAAGAAGAAGAAGAAGAAGAAGAAGAAGAAGAAGAAGAAGAAGAAAGAGGAGGGGTGAAGAAGATAAATTGAGAAAAGTAGTAAATATCAGCATACAAGAAAACATGAAACGGAAGATAACTATTCAAGCAATGAACAAACAACTCATGTTATAGAAAGCACCAAGTAAAGAAGTAAAAGTAAAAAAAATTAAAGTAAGATAATGATGATGCTGATGGGATGATGATGCTGATGGGATGATGATGCTGATGGGATGATGATGCTGATGGGATGATGATGCTGATGGGATGATGATGCTGATGGGATGATGATGCTGATGGTGGTGGCATAAGCCGGAAAAAAGTAACTAAAGAAAATATGCAAATTGAAGAAAACACTGCAGTGGAATAGGCAAAAAAGAAATCCTAAAACGAAACGAAATAGAAACTGATTTGAAAAACCTCTGATTATGCCCAAACCTTTGAGAATTTTTGAAAATATTATTGAAAAGTTAAGAAAAAAAAAAGAGAAAAATACGAATTTTACGTCATTGAATAGATGCTTTTATGTAGAACAAATAAGACCGACTCATTTGTATGTCTTTCGAACTAGAGAATAATGTAACCCTGATCGTTATTCGGAATTTACTGAAGGAAATACAACTGCCACCAACTTCGACCATTTGAGAGAAATCATGCACCCATTCAGAAATGCTTTTTTTTTCTTCCAAATTTGACGGTTGCAGAGACAGAGTAAAGCCCTATAATGATTTGGGAGGATGTCATTCGGAAGGAGATGGAGAAATTGCGCCCAAAACAAACTGATGCTCGTGACCAGGCCAGAAAGGTCAACTGAGATACTCTCTCAAGCAGCGTACACCGTGCTTCGTACGATATTAATCTCTGCCCTGCCTCAAAAAAAGATTACGACGACGACGAGGATGATGGTGAGGAGGGTGATGATGAAATTATCCTTGCCATTTAACTGCATTTCGAAAAGCACAATAGATCCAGAATGAATTGACAGAAAGTTAGGAATTGTTATCTTCAAGTCTACTCAACCATTATCAGCACGAATGCATCGTCATATCCCATGTGCTTCTTCCCTTTAGGACTTGTGTGTTCATGGCTTCTAAGTTTCACTCTTTGTTGGTCTAAGCAATATTTGTGAGATAAATATCCCTCTGAGTCACTCTTCTTCCATCCTTTTTGGATAAATTGATGGAAGGCAACTAGGTTATTCGCTTTTATATTCTGCTCATTCCGCCTTCAGTGTGTGCAGCGTGTGTTAGGTTCACTAAGCCCTGTTTTCTCATTATATGACTCTGAAATTTCAACTGATTCCTTCTGATCCAAAGGGCAATTGTAGTTTTGGTTCCCATTTTGCTTAAAGATTCTTCGCTACCCATATTTTCTCTCCTTAGCAATCTCAGCAGCCCCCTGTAGAATCACATATTTTACCTCAAGTCTCTTCTTCATCATCGAGGAAATTGTCCAGCATTCAGGATTTATATTAGGTAGCAGTTCAGTACTCTGTTCTTTTTTTTTTCTAACAAGATATTCCTTTGTTTAGATTATGGAAGGCTTCTTTTGCTATTCAAATGTGTTTTTGGATCACTGCGCCACATTTATCATCGTCTGATATAACACTTCTCAGATATTTTAATCTGTGTTATGTTTTATTTTAATATCTCCATTTGTAATCGAATATTTCCATGTTTCTGTAACCAGAAAAAGTTCATGTATAATCGAGTCTCACAAACAACCGTATGGAAGGATTTAGATTAGACTGTAAGGACGTACTAAGGAAGTGTTACCAAATTTATGCATCTATCAAATTTTAACGTCTATGGTCTTATAGAAAGAAGGTCAAATTTTGAAGATAAATTAACTTAAAATCAATTAAATTAAAATTCATTTAGATCTCTATACACTTTCGAAGTATTTAAACATTTAAGCAGACCATTAAATCTCTCAAAATGGAAGATTTTAAAAATGTTCCGAACATTCAAAATTCCGGCAGTGTAGGAATAATGGTGTCAGACATCGTTCTGAAAGGATCCCGGCGACTAATGAAATATTAAGTATCACAAAAGTACCCCTGGAAATTTCGAACAAATTTGGGTCGTATTAAAAGAATAGAAAATGAGAACATATTGGTCCCAGTTGATATTATTAAATTATAATCATAAAATAAGTATATCAATAGGAAAAAATATACTACAAAAATATAAAGAAATATATTTTTTAAATATATCAGAATATCCAAAGTTTCCGTTGCATTGATAGTGTTAAGAATACCATAGACTTAACATGTGAACAACGGCAAAGACTTATAGAAAATGAGAACAAAAAGGACAGTTATATTACCATAAGGAAGAGAGAGTTGACATTTCTGTATAATAAGTAAAGAAGGCTTTGTAAATTTGACGCACAGGATGGAAGTCAAGATGAAAAAAGAAAAAACAATGCTTAACCTTCCCTACTAAGAATGGATAACGCAACAAGTTTTAGAAGAGATAACAAAAAATAAAAATTATTAAGAGCTACAAAGGACATGGAATTGTGGAGAGCCATGTCCTTCAACATTCTGAAGGCACAAGCACATAAAAGTAGACGAAAGATTACTTTTCCATGATGCGGGAATTTTAGTAATCAGGTTTTGCCCTAAATTAGATTTAGTAAATATACATATGTGTATGTGTGTGTAAGAGAGAGAAAGAGAGAGAGAGAGAGAGAGAGAGAGAGAAAGAGAGAGAGAGAGAGAGACTTAATAAGTGTACAAACCAAATCTGATCATTTCCATCTTTATCACACTGATGTATTTTCTTTTCCCATAACATTGTTGTTTATATGTCGCTGAAAATAATATACGCGATAAGACGACTTGACTCAAATATCCAGAATCCAGAGCAATGAATTGGATTGCAAAATACATTAGTGAATAGAGAATAGAAATAATGTCTTCAAAAGAAAAATAGGAAAACCATATTGCGCCGGGGAAATGGTGGTGCAACGGCTACTCATTGTACGATACACGAAGACGCTTTCTTTGATATAAGCGATAATAGAGATGAACAATTTCTCTAACCTAATGTGATACTAATTTCACTCAATGCTGCTAATGCGAGCACGATTGCTAAAATAATATTAATAATAGTGCAGTAAAAATAACATGAATAAAAGGATAAAAAGGAATAAAAGAAAAGAAAAATTTCCAGAAGAAGACGATATATTCAAAAAGTGCTGCCCTAGAAATAAAATAGAATACTCTGGGATTTTGAGATTCTTTTCTGTTCATAATATCGAATCTGGGTATTAAATAAAAGAATGAGATGGCAGGATTTAGATAAATTGAGCCAGAAAAAGGATACCATCCATATAGAGCAGTTTAAAAATGAATACCATTTTCAAATTGTTAGTTAAATCTTTAGCCTTCATAAATGTCCCACACGAAACGAACAAAATCATACAGGCTTAAGTGGGAGAAATGGACATTATAAAAGCAGTAAACATAATTCTGATATGAATCTTCAAAAAGAAGAAGAATGATGAGGAGAAGAAGGAGGGAAAGAAGTAGAAGAAGAAGAATGAGGAGGAAGAGAAGGAATGAAAGAAGAAGAAGAAGAAGAACGAGGCGGAGGTGGAGGAGAAGGAGGCGGAGGTGGAGGAGAAGGAATGAAAGAAGAATGAACGAGGCGGAGGTGGAGGAGAAGGAATGAAAGAAGAAGAAGAACGAGGCGGAGGTGGAGGAGAAGGATTGAAAGAAGAAGAAGAACGAGGCGGAGGTGGAGGAGAAGGATTGAAAGAAGAAGAAGAACGAGGCGGAGGTGGAGGAGAAGGAATGAAAGAAGAAGAAGAACGAGGCGGAGGTGGAGGAGAAGGATTGAAAGAAGAAGAAGAACGAGGCGGAGGTGGAGGAGAAGGAATGAAAGAAGAAGAAGAACCAGGCGGAGGTGGAGGAGAAGGAATGAAAGAAGAAGAGAACGAGGCGGAGGTGGAGGAGAAGGATTGAAAGAAGAAGAAGAAGAACGAGGCGGAGGTGGAGGAGAAGGAATTGAAAGAAGAAGAAGAACGAGGCGGAGGTGGAGGAGAAGGATTGAAAGAAGAAGAAGAACCGGAGGTGGAGGAGAAGGATTGGAGGTGGAGGAGAAGGATTGGAGGAAAGGATTGAAAGAAGAAGAAGAACGGAGGTGGAGGAGAAGGATTGAAAGAAGAAGAAGAACCAGGCGGAGGTGGAGGAGAAGGATTGAAAGAAGAAGAAGAAAGGCGGAGGTGGAGGAGAAGGATTGAAAGAAGAAGAAGGAGGCGGAGGTGGAGGAGAAGGATTGAAAGAAGAAGAAGAACCAGGCGGAGGTGGAGGAGAAGGATTGAAAGAAGAAGAAGAACCAGGCGGAGGTGGAGGAGAAGGATTGAAAGAAGAAGAAGAACCAGGCGGAGGTGGAGGAGAAGGATTGAAAGAAGAAGAAGAACCAGGCGGAGGTGGAGGAGAAGTTGAAGATCGGAGGTGGAGGAGAAGGATTGAAAGAAGAAGAAGAAAGGCGGAGGTGGAGGAGAAGGATTGAAAGAAGAAGAAGAACCAGGCGGAGGTGGAGGAGAAGGATTGAAAGAAGAAGAAGAACCAGGCGGAGGTGGAGAAAACGGAGGTGGAGGAGAAGGATTGAAAGAAGAAGAAGAAAGGCGGAGGAGGAGAAGGATTGGAAGAAGAAGAACGGAAGGAGGTGGAGGAGGAAGGAAGAAAGAAGAAGAGGCGGAGGTGGAGGAGAAGGATTCTGGAGGAGAAGGATTGAAAGAAGAAGAAGAACGAGGCGGAGGTGGAGGAGAAGGATTGAAAGAAGAAGAAGAACAGGCGGAGGTGGAGGAAAGGATTGAAAGAAGAAGAAGAACCAGGTGGAGGTGGAGGAGAAGGAATGAAAGAAGAAGAAGAACCAGGCGGAGGTGGAGGAGAAGGATGAAAGAAGAAGAAGAACGAGGCGGAGGTGGAGGAGAAGGATTGAAAGAAGAAGAAGAACGGAGGTGGAGGAGAAGGTGAGGAGGAGGTGGAGAGAAGGATTGAAAGAAGAAGAAGAAAGAGGCGGAGGTGGAGGAGAAGGAATGAAAGAAGAAGAAGAACGAGGCGGAGGTGGAGGAGAAGGATTGAAAGAAGAAGAAGAACATGAAAGAAGAAGAAGAACGAGGCGGAGGTGGAGGAGAAGGATTGAAAGAAGAAGAAGAACGAGGCGGAGGTGGAGGAGAAGGATTGAAAGAAGAAGAAGAACGAGGCGGAGGTGGAGGATGAAAGAAGAAGAAGAACGACGGAGGTGGAGGAGAAGGATTGAAAGAAGAAGAAGAACCAGGCGGAGGTGGAGGAGAAGGATTGAAAGAAGAAGAAGAACCAGGCGGAGGTGGAGGAGAAGGATTGAAAGAAGAAGAAGAACGAGGCGGAGGTGGAGGAGAAGGATTGAAAGAAGAAGAAGAACGAGGCGGAGGTGGAGGAGAAGGATTGAAAAAGAAGAAGAACGAGGCGGAGGTGGAGGAGAATTTTGAAAGAAGAAGAAGAACGAGGCGGAGGTTTGAAAGAAGAAGAAGAACGAGGCGGAGGTGGAGGAGAAGGATTGAAAGAAGAAGAAGAACGAGGCGGAGGTGGAGGAGAAGGATTGAAAGAAGAAGAAGAACGGAGGGAGGCGGAGGAAGAAGACGAAGGAAAGGAAAGAAGAAGAACGAGGCGGAGGTGGAGGAGAAGGATTGAAAGAAGAAGAAGAACGAGGCGGAGGTGGAGGAGAAGGATTGAAAGAAGAAGTAGAACGAGGCGGAGGTGGAGGAGAAGGAATGAAAGAAGAAGAACGAGGCGGAGGTGGAGGGAAGGATTGAAAGAAGAAGAAGAACGAGGCGGAGGTGGAGGAGAAGGATTGAAAGAAGAAGAAGAACGAGGCGGAGGTGGAGGAGAAGGATTGAAAGAAGAAGAAGACTGGATGATGATCTGTGTCAAACCTGAGTGAGAAAACTAATATTGAGACTATGGTGGAATATTAAGGTAACTTCTATTAACGAGAATTCAATAGAGGAAAGAAAACCTAACCTGATAACAAGTAATATTGGAAACAACTTGAGGCATCTCATGAAAGCATAAATACATGGGCAGTAATTAGATTAAGGTTTTCGGACCCGTTTCGTCGGTGGACAAGAAAAGAATTTCTGTTCTAAAAATCCCAGTGGTTAGAATCATAGAATGATTTAGAAAAAGGTGACCACTCCATTTCTAAGTATAGGCTTGCTTTGGACGTTTCCGAAAACAGTATTATTAAAATAAGAATCCTAATAAGAATATATACCATCGAGATGGCAGTATTAATACATAGACTAATTTGTGTCTACCCTATGTTTTTAGTTACATATCAACCTTTATAAGATTTTTGATCTCAAGGGAATATGACAAGTTAGACAAAGCAAGGAATACAGAAAAATAATGATAATCAGTCATGAAAGAAACGGTGTTGAAGGACAGGTATTTAAAAAACATGTCTATTACACATCTTTGGAATTCAGAAATTTATACCGAACAACCTGTACTTGCTAAGAGAGAAGATGAAAACAAAACATTTCAAGTGCTGAATATTGGCACATTCGTTTTTCCAATCCACTTCACTAGTTTTGTAGGTTCAATCCTGCATAGAAAATTCTCTTGCTTGTACTAGACTAAGCTAATGATAGTAAATAAGCAATTTATTTTGCACTTACTATAGCACGCTAGCATGAATTGGTATTAGGTTAATTACAACTATTCTAAAATTCTTATAATTGCAATGTTATAAGGGGATATTTGTCATTGTACTCTCTTCAAATAAACCTTTGGTCATGGGGAGTCATTTTCGCAACTAATTACCATATTTTTAGCAAGAGTGCTAAAGGATCGTGGAAAATACGAGAAGTCCACAGAAATAACAAAATATTTCGACCCCCTTCAGTAAACCAAGTCAGAGTCAATGTCTTCTTCTTAATACTAACAAAAACTTCACCATCTTCGCGTGTACTAGATAATATTTCCTGTGGTTGGGATCCTACAACTCAAGATCACATGGATTTTTCTGATGAATCCTACTCCTTAGTTCTGTCAACATTTAATCCATGATTTAAGTCATGACTTCAACTTCACCAGTCTTTCAATACAGTGACACAGTCATCAAACATTCACTGTTGTATTGCATGCAATCTGTGATATGGATCTCGTTAATGCTAAAACATCTCAAGTATGGTATCAAATGCTCCTTGGCAATATGATATATTTGACTCTATCAAAATCATCATCCATTTTAACCAATTTTCTTGAACCATCCATTTTTATGTAGCTCATTAGCATCAGACATTTACTTCCAAACCTTCAATGTTTTAGCTGTGTAACATTGATCATTTCTTCGCTTAATCGCTGCATTTTGTCTTAACCCAAACATCTACACTCGAAACGCCATACCAGTTTAACTAAATAAATGTAGCCTTCCTTTTTTTTTGTAACGATGGACTATTCGTTTCAACGAATCCCTTCAGTCTATGTTCTTGAAAGATGCATTTAGTGTTACCTATTGAAACCAAACTGGACAATTTTGGTCGATTAAAACACTTACAAAGCATTGAAACATCGAGAAAAGCCGCTATTGAACATTCTAAATTCTTTAGCGATTGCTCGCTAGTTCACATTCTTGGGCTTCTTCACTATCTCCCTGCGTTCTTTGAGAATTTTCGCCATGCTTTCAAATAATAAAAGAATGTAAGATCGATGTCAGAATTTAGCCTGTATATAAGAAAAATCGGTCTGTTCTGACACAATATTTGTCTCTTAGAAGTGGTACAGAAAAGAGAAAACGAAAATGGTTCAGGTGGCTGATAAATTTTGTCGGCTATGGTTGGGTATTATCTCTCATCTTCTCCCTTCATTCATAATTCTGGTTAATGATATGATAAATCGGAGGGAAAATGAGCCCAGGATGGTTTCATCTATAGACAACATAATAATAAAAAAAATTGAAGCAGTTTAAAATGGATTTAACGGCAGTTGCGAAGGAATCTGTTGTAGTAAGAGCCGGTTGCGGTCGTTATTATCATAAATGGACCGATCCATTCATCATAAATAGTCCGGGGTAATTATTAGAAGGAAGGAAGAAGATAATACAAGTGTAGTGAGTATTGAATAATGGCAATGTCGACTTAACAGACCCCACATCACAACTAGATATTATAATCTATGATAATAAATACTTTTAAACATACTTGAAAACATCTGAAGACTATAAATCCGAGGAACAATCTTGTAGATCTCTTATGGAAGAATGGACGAAGTGGTAATCTGAGATAAACGTGAAAGTGTTGCGATCATCTCTAAAGAAAGTATAGATCTGTTTTCACTTGATTCTCAGGCTGAGTAGTTATATGTTTCTGACATGAAAAATAGAATAACAATGAGTCACAATTACGAGAGAAAAAAAAGAGTATGAAAATGTGATATTAAACTTCATTACATTATAAAACTGTCATAATAAACTTCAGACAATTATGTCTTTTTATTGTTATATCAATCGATGCAAACGTTTTATACAACAGGTAGTAAAGAGTTTTGAAATCTTTTGATTCAATGATAGTTTACCTCAGAGATGGAAAATATGTCACTGGCATATAGTGACTTATTAAAGCTGAACTTATTATTGTCTCAAGTATAGACTCATATATGATCGAATTTGTAAGAACCTAAATGTTTCTTTAAATACAACCAAAATATTTTTGGTTGCATTCAACTGGAATGTTTGATCCTTGATTGAATATAAAACAGACATAACAATGATACACTTCAAATGCTGTGTGTTCGTCCATCGAGACATATAGTATGAATAAAACGTAGAATAAAATAGGACAATTCCTCTCGGGCTTTGGGATCCAGACTAGTTATGTCAGGTAGACAAGAAAACCGACAGTCTTTGATGTAGGGAAGGAAAATAAATTTTGACAAATCTTAGAATTAATTGTGACAGCGAACCACAAGCTTTTAGGGGAAAGAAATAAAAATGGCATAATGTATGAATACTCTCGAGAGTTGCGCTACCGCTGGACAATTATGAGTTAGGGTCGTTCACAAGATTATCCTAACAAGAATGGAATCCGTGTACACCATGAAAGTTTAAGTTATTTATAGGTACGGGGAAGTAATAGGAAGCGTTTCCTTATGAGGAAACATTCTACATCTATTGAATGAACAGCCTGTCCTATTTTCAGATGAAAGACTTATCTCTTCGAAAAGTTTTCAGGAAAATAGGTTTTGTAAGTCGAATAATAATAATAATAATAATAATAATAATAATAATCAACTTATAATGCCAAACACCCAGATCCAGTTACAGAGATAGGGCCTATAGAAATCCTATGGTACTTCACAATACAAACAAACAGAACAATCAAATCTATTCGTTATGGAACAGCACAAAAACAGAACGTTACTTCTTATTAACATTGTAGTCCCTGCAGACTGAAATGTATCTTTGAAGATCTTCAAAAAACTATCAAAATGCAAGGATCTTAAAGGACAAATGTAAACAAAATGTATCACATGAGAACACCAATAATTTCAGTTGTAGTTCGAACACTTGAATTGATTGGAAAATGATCTGATAGACTCATAGAAATGATACATGAAAGCTCATGCCTTTAAGAAATAAAAAATATTGTACTCACAAGTAAAGCTCACTCATTACGAAGAGCTTTAGCTATGTAAAATCAGTTTTTTTTTTTATTTACAAGAAATGATTTGTAAAAAAATGTCGGGAAGCCATTTCTGAACTTTGGTCTCTGGTTGGGACCCAAAAAGAAATCTGTGGACAATAGAAATCCAAGGAAATAATAATAACAATAATAATAATAATAATAATAATAATAATAATAATAATTTGCAGTTGTAGAATGAGTGAGAAATTTAATGATATATGTTGTGTGTGTGCCCAAGTCTAGCTCAGAATGAGTATGAATAACTGAAAAGGAGAGGCATGATCAAGTTACGAAAGTCATTCATTGGAAGTTGCTTAAGTCAACTTGGAATTTTCAGCGAGAAAATGAACGTTACAATCATAAAACTGCGAATGTCGTCGAGTCAGAAATATGTAAGATTTTCTGCGACATTTCATAATAAATAGATGTAAAATTGGAGCACAACAATTCGTTATTCATTGATTGAATATAAAATAGAAAAACGAAGGGTTAATCATTGTCTATTCTGCCTTTTTTTTATGTCATGATAGAGCAAAAAAGGAGAGCAGCCAATTATAATTCCTCGCTATTTGAATTCACAATATTCTGTAAACTGAAGATAGTCACAGTCACGTCAATTGTTATTCATGCACTTCGTACGGGGGTGTCGGACACAATAGAGAAATTGACAAAAAGACAGTCGGCATTGATTGCACAGCAGAACTAGTATAGAAAAGAAGCTTACTTGTTTTCCAGTTTGTTTTGAAATCCTCTTCTGTAGATCCTGTCATCTCACCTCATGGGGAGGGCTCTTCTTATCAGATAAACAGCATAGCTTTCGATTCTTTAGGTCGAAAGCCGATATATTAGCTGTTATTGCTGAAAGTGATTTTAAATGAGATTGACGAAGATCGAAATGTTTCCTCAATTGATTCAATCTATTTTGGCAAATCGTGAGAAGAACACTGACTTGTTTTATCCCACTTCCAGGTATTTTTACATTAATTCGGGTTCTCCCCAAGGCTCTATCCTTGGCGCTGCTTGGTTCATTAGTTTCATCAACGACTTTCCCAATGTCTTCCATTCTCGAGTCGGATTTTTTTACCGATTACATAACTATTTATTTCAATCTTAATAGTAAGTGATAGGTTCGCATTGTTAATTCTGTATTTGATAAAAAAAAAATGACCATCAATCTGTTGTTAACGGTGACAAGAATGGGTGTGTTAATTTTAACACCTCCAAATAAAAACTGTTCTATTTGAATAGAACTAGAGAAAGGTTTTCTGCCTTTTATCAGTTCTAATAAAAGCCAAATAAAAAGCTGATTTTCAAAGCATTCATTCCGTCTCAGTATTACATACTGACGCTACACAATCATCCTACACTCGCTCCGA